AACTTTGCCGTTTTTGATAGATGTTCTACTACTTGCACTGCCTGTACTGCTTACTGCTGCCCCCACGCCCCCTGGTTCATCATTGCGACCCCGCCACCTTCTGTAGACCAAAAATGCAACACAAGTTGAGGCGGAGATTCTTCATTGGGAGGCTAACATTAGGTCCTATACTGCCCGTGGCCTCGTGGCAGCCACAAAAAACTGTTAACGTTGCCAATAATCTTTTGCACTACCACAGCTTTGGATTGGTCTGAATAGAGGACACCCCCGTGCGGGCGAGGACAACCCCACATTCAAGGACTGTATGGCTTCGGCCTCAATCATTATCTTCTGGTCGTCGAGCTCCACTTCTTCGTGCTCTGGGTGTACGTGTGGGCTCTCTGCATCCAAGCTCTCCTCTGCATGGGGTATGGTCAGGCTTGGGGAAACAACCGAATGACCATGCATTCATCACCTCAACACCTTCCAACCCATGATGCCCTTCGTCCTTCAACTCCCTAACAGATCCTACGATGACATTCCGCAAGCACATATGATTGGACGTCGTCTTGATGAATGGCGCCATCAGACCTGGATATTGGTGGTGGTCCTTTTCGGTGAATTACTAGACTACGTACTGGGGATGTGCTGGGGTGAGGCGGGGTAGAGGTGCTCCACTCCTCGCGCAGAGGCGCCAGCGGCTCCAGATCTGGCAGGCCACTGGGACGCAGAGAGGCTCCTTGTCAGGCACAAAAGCTGATTCAACAAAAAAACCGTCACAACCCATCCAAGAAGGATCATCAAGGGTGTACTACACATTAGTGGAGGTACGAGGGAGTAGGCGCTCATTGATCCGGAATCCAACAAGATGCCTTCTGGACTGAAGCCCTTTGCATCGCTGGCGTTAGAGGACAACAATGCATTTGCTTAACCAACTAAAAGTATCCTTGTCAATGAAGCAAACACGTACAATGGAGTCTCTACAGTAGTATACAGTAGTTTTCTCAGGCTGAGGGTGGCGTAGCGCATCGTCCTCCCAGCTTCTGCCTCGATTCGCCTTCCTCCACATGGCTTGCAGTATCGCTCAGGCGTGCATGGCGACGCAGGGTGTCCTGGCCATAGAAAGCCGCTCTTACTGATCAACCTGCGAAAGTCGGCACTTTGGATGTGGAAAGGCAAAACTCAGCTCATACAAAGGCATATAAGGCTGCTTTATGTCAGAGATTTCTAGCCAGCATCCAGCATTGTTATTCCACGATTAGAATTTGTGATGTATGCTTCAGCTCGCAATTCCATGTCTGTCTGACCGCAGGGGGGTTGGATGGTCAGACGAGACGGAAAGCTTGTCAACACGCCCCCCCCAAGGTCGAGGAGTCGAAGGATGATGCGCCCGCAAATTCGCTCGCAGAAGTTTGTTTGTCAAAACAAAGCCAGGCACGCCGCCCAACTATTCGTATGGGGCTGCTCAGCTTTGCGGGAATTCCGAGTCTTGTGCTGAAAAGCTTCTGCACGAGCAAACTTCTTGTCACCTCCGCGCCGCTTGCTTTGGGACCCGGGGACCTCCTGTGCGACAGGTTGCTCAATTACAAGATGACCTAGATAGGCTTCTAAGGCTTGACCTGGCTCGGGGTCCAAGCACCCAGGGCCTGCGTCAAAGGGAGGAGCAAGCTTACAAAAGCAGAAGCAGTGTTCTTGTTGCAGATTGGCATGCAACCGAGGCTGCAAGCTCTGTGTATGCGAGCTGTAAAGCTGAGCATTGTCAGAGATGATAGTTTGTGGCATTCGCGCTCGACTCTTGGAGACAGAAGGGCACCAACATGAGCTCTCCCGACTAAGTGCCCTGCTGACTGGCTGGGGTCGGAGGCATGGGCAATAAAGTTGTGGTGCATAAGCACTCTAGCGTGGCGCTGCTCCCCACGTTGCCAGAGCGGCTCAAAGAGATCTGTTCAAGAAAAGGCCGAAGAGGCAGTCAGGGTGTGGCATGTCTCTGGTTGAGATCCTTCAGGGCCGCCAGTTGGAGGATTTTTTAAAACGTTTAACGGCCCACAGCTCGGGGTTCAGCCGAGGGCTGACGGAGTTTCAAAAAGACCTTCAGGGCCCACAGCTGTGGGCCGAAGGACTTTGTCGATGTTGAGGTCTTTCAGGGGCCCCCCAGCCTGCACAACAATGCACAATTTTAATGTAGCGCCGAACAGGCCGCATATCATCAGAAGCTCTAACCTCTGCGCATGTTGTGCCGTCTCCCATGAAGTCCTCCTGGCTTTCAGAAGTGCGCGGGCAGCTCTCTGATGCAGGCCGTGGGTCTGTTGAGCCTGAGGCTGAGTGCTAGAAGAGTCATGCTACGCATGGGCTTTTCAGGGGGCTGGAGTTTGAAGTCAAAGATCTTGATCCTGCGGTGTACCTGGCACTCTCGCATAGGTGTCTTGAGCTTTGCCGAGTAGCTGCTTGCCAGTGAACGAAGATTCAACTCTCCGTGGCCTTCCTGAAAAGTCTCAAGCACTCACATGTGCCAAGAAATATCAGGGCGCAATACACTTCAGCATTACAGCCAGCCACTAGCGACCGCTAGAAACATGTGAAAGAGTCCATTCGCACACAGAAGCAAAACCACAGGTGCTCGCCAGCAGCCGACCAGTCCCCTCCCATAGAAACAGATTGAACAATCGGCCTCCGGGCAGCTAATGGCACCCTCACGGGGGACGAGCCTTCCAAAGCCATGCGCTGCAAGTGTAGTGAAAGGTTCAAAATTTAAGCCTGAGAGGGCAGCAGTGACGTACTGTACTGCAGGACGCTTTTGCGATTGGGGTTCTGTGTGCTAGATATGCTAGGCAATCCGGACTGCGAAAGCGGTCAAGCTGCCTTGCCCACGCAGCGTGCTAAAACAGATGTGCAGACTTCTTTTGTTGAAAAGCAGGCGCCACAAAAGCTGGTAGCGAGTCTGAATGTTCAGCGATTCCATGCCTCCAGTGAATCAGTGGCGCCTGAGCTACGTGGTAGCACATGTACGGGTATGGTGTTCGCTACCTGCTGGCAAATTTGGACTGTCATCACGGATTCTAGTATACAGCATACGCTTTAAATGTTATACAACTCCCTGTCAGTTTAACGCAGAACCTTGCACTTATGAGAACTGAACCTCATCATTCTTGCTCATTGGGTCCTGTAACACGGCTAGGAAGGCGGCCAATCTTTAATCAACAAGGTTCTTACGGCTGACCTGAGTCTATGTGGATGGTAAATGACAAGCGTGATCTTTACCAACAGTAGGGGCCTCAGAAAACAAAGCTTCCAGCAAAGATCAGCAAAGTGTAACCTGGCCAGAGGCCATACCAGCCCAGCACGGGCAGCCAAGGCGCGCCACTGCGTACCCGATGTGGAGTCAAGCAGTGGCTGGCTGGCCAGTCGGCTGCTTCCAAAAGGGTCTGACAGGCGTCGCGTGATGTTGGGCTTGTGGGCTGTTGGTGCTTCAATTTAACAACAATGCCTGGTGACCCGTGGGCCTGTAAACGCTCCAAACTGCTGCGTCTACAGATCAGAGTGCGGTGTTCAAACGTTCCTATGAGTCGCAAACGCGCGTCGAGAGGCACAGCTGATATGAGGGCGTGCCAAAATCCCTGGCCGGCGTGGCATGTTCAGCATTTGGCGGAGTCAAAGTGGTTATCAAAGGAAAAAACTGCCAGAAAAATCACGAAAATTGTGCTGCCGCTGTGGTGTCGCGTGCATGAGGCAGTTCAGCACGGAAGTTTTGACATGTTTTCAAGGAAGGACACAGACGGCTCATTGTGTTACAGCTTCAGCCAGGCACTGTCTGTCTCTGTCTCTGAGTTGAGAAGTCCTTTGGACCATGGCCAAACGCGCGCACCCGAGCCTGTCTGTACACTGCAAGCGCCTGCACCACAGTCATGAGTTCCATATGCTCTTGGAACACGAACGGAATTATGGTTCCGGCATGGATGCTGTGGGAAACCGGATGCAAAGGGGGTGGATGTTGTCATGGTCGCAGCATGCATGCTCAGCGAAAAACGCCATGCGTGGTGGCAGCAGTGATTTTGAGGCCTAGGAAGGTCCGACAGTGCTGTTCGTGCCACGCAGGCCAGTCCCGATGGGATCAGGCGGAAACGCATATTGTTCGCGTTGACGGCCGGTAGCTACGTTAAACAAGAGGTGTTTCGACTGGAGGGCTTTTCGCTTGACCTACCCTCGGATGGACTGCTGCTGCAGCTGGCCTGATCTTGCGAGTAGTAGGTTCTGTGTCGCAGCTGATTTAGAACCAACTAGACAAATCTTGGCATTTCCAGGACCAACCCTGCGAGCCGACGTGATTGGTTCGCCTGCACCACACCTGCGCAGAGGCCCTCGCTGCCTGGGCACATCCAGTTAGGGAGAAAAACGGCTTGGGCAAGGTGAGATCTCAGCTTTTGAGGTTTCCAGCCATCACAAAACGTTCTTGTGCGACCTGAGCACTACATAGCACTACAGTGTCAGCAATGTGTCACCTGCAACTTGAAGAGAGGACGCCTGTTTTGGGGTCCAGTGCCCAAACCAGAAGGAGCTGAGAACACAAAATTGACTGCTGAACTCCCCTATGCCCCTATATGCGCAGCTCAGCGGCTGCCTTCTGAAGCCCCCTCCAGGGCCTTAGCAGAGCGAGCCACAGTTAGGCAGTCACAGGACCGCGTGCTTTCGAGGTGAACCTGGAAGGCTAAAGTATGCTCAATGCTCGAAGGCACAGCCCATGCTGAAGCCCCGCGCGACCTGACGTGATCTGCGGGCCATCGACCGCTCAGTTTTGCTCGTTGCTCTTCCCCAAACGGCACTCCCCGTGCCAATCTGTCAGCAGTGAAACTCCCCTTGTAACCAGCTTCAGTGCCGATCCCCATCAAAATATCATTTCCATCACGTTGCATGATTTTCAAACTGCAGGTCAGACTATGTTCGAACTTGAATAAAGGCACGGTCAGCTGCGTTTCCCGACTAGACTGTGAATCTACCAACTGTCGATGAAGAACCCAAACAGTGCGTCACGGTGTGGCCATCTCTTGTGCTTTCCGAGGAATGTGGAAAGGCCATGCGTGCTCTCTCACTTGGAGATTCGGATTGTCGTGCCGCAGCAGCTCCAGAAGAATCTTGATGCCTGGCGTCACCTTCTGTTGAGCCTGCGCACGGCATGTCTGCGATATTGCAAGCTACCTGCTGCAGTACCTCTCTGACGCTGGAGAATTGTCTTTGAAAAGCCGCTCTGTTACAGTCTCTCTCATCCTGAATGTTTTCGTTTGCAAAATGCATTTTCGGGGGTTGCCACCTGCAAGACCACCTCGAAGTTCTCTTGCTCACAGAAGTTTGGGTAGTTGCAGGACCACCTGACACGTCGGAGACCCACGGACACAAGATTTTGTACGTAAGCAAAGCACCGACTTCCAAGGAATCAACACACAAGTCTAGGCACTCGCAGTGTGCATTCCAAATACGCTTCCGCGCTAAATCATCGTGATCATAGCGGTTCAGCATCGTTGCCGTCACCCCAGAGATTCCTGAGCGCATGAGTTGGGATTCAGATTCTTTCATGCCACGTGCAAAGCTGTCAGGTACTTATCCATGGCAACAAGTGAAGCCCTAGCACATGGACTTGATAGTTGATAATTATTGGAAGCCATCCCTAGACCATATGCCACACCTAGATCACTGCACAAGCCTTGATAATCACCAGCTCGGTTAGAATGGAGATTTATTTGAGTGTAGTTTTTGTTGATGCCTTTTTTTGGGGGGATGACTTTTTTGGGTGTCCCGGGACCTGGAATGGCAGGACGCCTCGCATGAGAGCACGATTCCTAAGCAAAAGCTGTGAAGAATGATGAAAAATCATGAAACATGATGAGAATTATGAAAAGTAATGAAATGAGAACGAAAATTGTGAAAATCACGAAAAATGATGAACGATACATGATGAGAGCTGATGAAAATCATGAATGCTGATGGAAAATGAAAAGTGGTGAAAGGGTATGAAAACAACAAAAAATACAGAAAATTAAGCATGGGGGGCACTTGAAAAAAGGCGGGGGGGGTTGGGTGTGGGCGCAGCCCCGCACCCCCCCTTTGCAAACAACCTGATCTGCATAACTCTCCCTTATGGGTGACATGATGATTTTTTGTTGCAGCAAGCTTGGATGGCATCACAACAAATGAGGGGGAGGTTCGGACCGTGGAAAGCAATGAGATGATTTAAAGCGATGGCGATGGCAATAGCAAGCATGGATGGCCTTAACAAACGCGGGGATGTAGGGGGGGGGCAGACGCCCCATCCGCAAGCAAAATGATCTGCGTAACCCTCCCTTACCGATGACATGGTGCTTTTTTGTTACAGCAAACTTGGAAGGCCTCAAAAAAGAGGGGGGGGGTGGGGGAGGCGCGGCACTCCCTACCTGCAAAAAGCATGATCCGCATAGTCTTCCCTGGCTGCAAACATAGCCACGGCCCTGAGTGCTGGAAAATGATGGAGATGATGAAATTTGATGACTTTGATGAGAAATGATCATGTATTATCAAAAAAATGTTGTTGGGAAGTGATTCTGATGAAAAGGCTGAAAAATATGGCAACAGGCGAAAAAGGATGAAGATGATGAACATTCATGAAAACTGCAACTTCCAAAACGCACGTCCCACCAGTTGTTGCCTCCCGATCCAACTTTCTCAGCACGGAACTACCCCCCCCACCTCCGCACCCCTTTCCCATTATATTCCATTTTAAGTAAAGTGTAGTTTCTAGGGGGGGGGGGACGCCTACTACTACTACTACTGCTACTACTACTACTACTACTACTACTGCTACTGCTACTACTACTACTACTACTACCACCACCGCCACTACTGCTTCAGGAAGGTACAGAAGGCGAGAAAACCACAGAGCCAGAAATCGAAGAAGCCAGAAAGCCAGGAAGCCAAGCAGCCAACAGAAAGAA